AAAACGGTACAAAGATTAAACCTTTGCAGAATATGGATGGAAACGGAGCTCTCCGTATACAATTTGAGTTTTCAGTTGAGGAAAAACCAAACTCGAAACAACAGCAAATAAAATATAATGAAAAGAATGAAGTTGAAGTAAGCAAGCAAGAGAGAATACATTGCGGCATTGAAGTATTTATATTTGGAGCCAAACTACCTCCTTGCCACAATTCACATATCATATTGAACGAGAAACGAAGAATGAATGTTCAGAAAATGGCTGCGTATGTCATACATACTATTGGGACTAGTTGTGATTTTCACTACTGTTCTCGATTCTCTTTTTTTCTCTCACATTGATTTTTACCATTTGCATAAAAACGAATAGCAAAAATAAATAGAGAGAGAAAAAACAATGACACAAATGTAGTTCAGAAAAAATAAAAACAAGAATGGTCCTGACTTCATTTCTCTCACCGATTCTCTTTCGTCGTCTTGATCTCTGTATAATTGATTTGAATTCGACTTCAACCGGCGCTTTATGTCCAAAATGAACGTTCAATTCGAATTTAATGCGTAAGCTTTTCCATGTAAAGCTGATAACATTTCTAATTGTTAAGCCAAACGCTTGGGTAACATCGATTTTATATTCCACAGAATTAATATGAAAAATATTGTGGAATATAATACACATACATAGCATTTTCTATGCAGAAAACGTGTCGGTCGAAAATGTTTCACGCGACCAAAATAAAATCGAAAAAATATACATTAGTGGCGGAAATATGTGAAGAGCAAGATGAAAAGTTGGTAAATGAATGTGAGTGAAGAAAAAAGTTGGATTGAAAGCGAGAGAGAGAGAGAGAGACAGAGAGAAAGCGGAACGAGTGAAAATATTCCGATACGGTGTAAGTGATGAGACGGCGCAGAAAACGCACAAATAAAAAAGAAAATATTGAAATATGGAAAGAAACAGCATACATACAACAACACACATTCGCATGCCGATAATGGTTTTTCGAGAGAGAGAGAGAGAGAGAAAGAGAAAGAGAAAAAAAATAACAACAATGCCTGAATAATAAGCCACATTCAAGTCAATATGTCGGCATTATATACTAATATTTGTTCTATTTTTGGAAAGCCTCATTGAAAATAATCTTAAGTCGAGTTTTAATCAATTTTTGGCAACGCGCAATGCAACACTGAACACCATCGAAATACATTTATATGCTGTCGGAATCGGTTCTAATACTGTGCTATTTTCAAATAGGGAAGCGTTCAATTTTTCATTGTAAAGGAAGTAATAAACCGTCAGGAAAACCATACGCGACAGTCAGAGAGTGTTAATATGAAAAGCGCCAGATAAAAAAAAAAACATCTTAAGGACCTGATTCTATTGCAAAATGTCAAGCAAAATGGGAAGAGACTATAAGAATTTTATGTTAATATTATGATAAACAGTTTATGACTTGTTTGGTAAAACACATCGATTCATGTCTGACTGATAAATTCGAATATTTCAGACAAGCGCATCGGCAATTACAAAATAAGATAACGTAATATCTAGTAGCAATCGAAAGCAAAACGTGAGTATTTCGATTCTGCTAAAATATACAAATTGAATGCAAATATGCATTTAACATGTTTTTTTTCTCGATTCCCAGCCATGTGCAAAGACGTTGGGATCTATCAATATCTTGTCAGTGCAATTCAAAGATAAATCTATTTCACTCAGCTTTTCCTCATATACTAGTTTTAATATACGAAATATATTTGTGTGAATGTTTGTGCGTCTCTTTAAGTTGTTCAATCGCTTTCAAATGCTTCTCTCTGTTGGTCTCATTAGCTTCGTAGTCGGTGACAGAAGAAAACTGGGCCCAAAATGTGAAACCGATACAAAGATGGTGTATTTAATTTATTCGTAATCGAAAAGCGTATCGCAGGAGCCAAGCGCATGGAATGACAAAGAAAATTAATTAAACTTTGATGATGTTGACTCTGTCTCTGGCTCATGATCATCTGCATGCTGTTTGCGTTGATTTACGTGTGCGTCGTCATTTATTACGTGGAACACTGTATGTGTGTCTGTTTCTTTTTTAGCTGTTGTTTTATTTCTAAAAATTGAACACGAACATAGCACCTGTTTTGCAAAAGCATAGTTGCGTTCTCTTTTCGCCACTCTGCCACCGTATTACCGCCAAAGTTTCTGCTGCTGTTATTCTTTGCAAAGCACGATTCCCAATTCATCACTGCTCGAAATGTGTACGACTTCGAACCGACGATATTTTAAATATCGTCTTTCAATTTTGAATTCTTCTTCTTTTTTTTCTTCATTCACTCAAAACCAATTTGATGCTTGTTGCAAAAATATTCTTTGCTTACGTACACTTTTATGCGATAGAGACGGAGAGAAGAAGATAAAGACAAAAAAAAATTGACATTCATTTCGGGCACTTGGTCATGAGATAATGACGATTTCATATGGTCCGTCAGTGTATTTGTTTGAATCCTTCTGAATATGGAAGATACTTGAAAATCATTCAAAGACGTCACTAATCTTATGTTCATCTTAAATCATAAACACATACACACGCGCAGAGGGAAGGAAGCAAAAAAAATGGTTTGTGGTGGTTGCGCACGCTAATAGCCATTTCAATATTTCATTTCTAAATGTAATATCGCTTTCAAAATAGTAAGAAAGAATTTGACATTTATTTTTAATACTTGTGTGCCATGATAAATGCAATTTATTCACGAGTATGCTGCTGTTTATTGGCTTTTTTGCTCTTCTCTAATTTATTTTCCTCTTTCGATTCGATGTGTGTTTTTTTCTTCGATGTTTCGTTTCAATATTTCTTTTTTCGTCGCCGTTATTGTTGTTGTACTTATTTTTATTTTCTCTTTAAATTCTCAAGGTAATTATGTACATTTAATTATGCGAATTTAATCAGAATAATGATCTTTCGATTCGTACGAGCGCACGAAATCTGACGGCAGTAACAGAAGGGAAATCGCTGTTGAATTTTATTCTATGTGTATATGAGAAAAGAAGAAAAAACTGCATGTATACGAAAGAAGAAAAAACTGCAATTATTTTTTTTCATTAGTTCTTTGCTATTTTGTTCGCAATTCCCTCTCTGTCCCTTTTCAAATCTATTTCACTATTTTGTTTAGCAAATACACAATACTTTACTGCTTGGACTCTCTGGTTTCTTGTTTTATGGCGTTTCTCATTCGCTATTTTTTTTTTTTTTGCTTCAACATATGTACATTCGGCGAGATGTATTCTATTCGATTTTTTCCGCACACGGTCACGCACAAACAATGCACGCGGACTCTATAGCATTGATGATCTAATCGGTTTAAAAGCATAATTCACAATGGACGTATGTATTGTTGAAGCGCACGCGAGACACTCACACACCAACATAATATACATATAAATTAATATATACACGCGAGCTCAGCGTACACACACACAAACACGCACGCAAAATGACGAAGAAATTTATTCAGCATGGAAAGGACAATCTATCTTTTCTGTCAAATGACAACGGCTAACAAACGGTCAATTTAGTGTTTAAGCTTGATTTTGCGGCTTATAGTTTATGATTGCAATTCGCACTGTATCGAAATTAATTTTTTCTTGATGCTCTCTACGGTCACTTGTCTCTATTCCATTGTACAACCGTTGATTGTTTCGTTTGACAACGATGACAGATTATAACAATAAAATGTCATCAATCATACATAAGATCTCGTAATCGTGCCACATCATATTGGTCTGAAGTGTATGGTTCATTCGAAAATGCCATTCAATTGATATCATTATATATAATGTATTCGTTAAATTTCTCTTTAAAATTTAATAGCAAAAGAGTTTGAATAAAAAAATAAACTCTTTTTGTGAGATTATAAAAAAATAACAACATTTTTTTTATCAATTCCGTACACAATGATAATTTTCAATGTCTTTGACAAAACATTTTTTTACGGCAATCTTGAGCTCTTTTACAACTTATTCACATTGTGTTTATTGTCCATTTTTATCGTCTTTTCAAACTTCAATTTTACATAAAATATGTGAAAACTGAGAGAGATAGCGGCCAGCAAAAGTCTATCCTTCTCTTTTAAGAAATCACGCACACATTCATAGCTTCTGCCTTTTCTCGTTCACTATTTCATATATATATAAATTGTATATTTTTACATATATCTGTATCGTTATTTTTATTTTTTTTGGCTGCCCATGATATGAATGTTAAAAATACTGAAAATATGCAAACATCCTCGCTTATTTCTCACTCTAGTGCCATATTCACGAACACGATAGAATAACAAAAAAGTATCAATAAAGCACATAGGAACCACAAAATACAATGAAAACTAAAACCGGGCATTCGCGTATCTGGCTTGAATCGATTATGTACGCTCTAACAATTCTTTATATGCGTGATGTGTATACACATTACAGAATCACTGAATCGCCGAAAAAATAATAATATATATATATAAAATATATACACACAATTTAGAAATGAAACGAGAAAACCGAAAATGAAGAAGAAGAATCGGCGAAATCTTCTTTATTTTATATATATATTTGTATATATATAATAAAAAGAACAAGAAAACCGAATGTATGTATGTCGATTTGAATGAGATGGTAATAGTTAAACTAGAGAAAGACGTAAATAGGATAGCATAACTCCCACGTCTCAATAAAAATATACTAAACTCATTTGTTGTAGTTTAAACCAATGATATTTTTGACTCACACAGAAAATCGATTCAATTTGGCAAACACTTGCACTTCGTTCTCACACGCAGTAAATGCATCAAATAGGGCACAACAGAGGCAAAAAATAGAAAAAGCGAATTCACTTTAACAATATTGAGACTTTTAATTTATTTGTGAATCTTTTAATTGATTTCGCCGCTTGTTGTAATTATGAAAAAATATATATATTGCAAGACAAGGACAAATTTGGAGAAAACAGAACCGAATGATAAACTTACATTTTGTCTAATATTAATATTTAAAAAATTTGAAGTAATTTTTTAAAATTTTAGGAACTCGAACGATGAATGCGCGTTCGAGTGCGAAATTTCTGTACACAATTTGATTGGGTTGAATACGATGAATAAAAAAAGAGTCGTACTAATTACAACTGGCAGCAGCAACTCCACAAAGTTGTTGTTATTATTGTTGTTTTTGTTGTTATTATTGTTGATGTTATAGTATTTTATAATATTATATATTTAATGTTTCCTCAGATACAATATTTTTTTTTCTTCTTCTCTTCTTGAAATTCTTTTTCTTCTTCTTTTTTTCCGATTAGAAACACTTCACGAAGAAATTTTCTCTTCCAACTTCACTTTGCACCACAAATCATGTTGGTTACGTTGGCTTTTTTTCTGTTTCTCTCTTTCTCGATCTGAGGTTTTGGCAGTTCTTACAGAGAGTATTAGAATATTTTGCTCTCGAATGCGAATATATTCAGAATATATTCTTTTGTTATTTAAAACAGGAAGAATTAAGTTCTCGTGTGGTCACAAACAAAACACGGCAAAATAAAAACGAACGAAAAATAAATATTTATGTATCGAGAAAAAAACTACCGAACAAAACGATGATATCAACGATGATGGTCGAATTTTGTTGAATTTCTGTTCGTCTGATTATAATATTATTTGCGTACGTATGTACATCAAATAATTATTTCTTTTTTTTATTCCTCTCGGTTTGTTTGTCGGTAAATATTTTGTGGTATTCAAAGACGACAAATTGGAATTGCAATTGAACGACAGTTTATATTACGCGACTATTTTTCATTATTTATTTTTTTTTCGCTTTCTTTATCGTCCGAACACTTTCAGCATTAAACTGACGTCAAGTAACAATTTTTCCTTGCACGAAATAAATATTGCGAATCAAGAGGAAAAAAAACACCCAAAAAATTATATATATTCGAATCGAAGGAACAAAAGGCTACTAATGTACATATAAATTTGATATTTTTTTATGTAGAAAAAAATAAAAAATTAGAAATATGTGTCCACGACCACGACAAATGCACGCACACACTTCACACTTTCTCGGGCCTAACACACAACGAATATCACACCGTTCGAAAAATTATGAGCAAAGTAGCTAAACTAGCGCCTGTGAGTATAATCATGTAATGTTCAATGAAAGAGAAAGAGAGCGAGAACGGGTGAGAGGGAAAGAGAGAGCGAGTGAGAGAGAGAGAGAATGAGAAAATGAAGAGAGAAGTTGCGAAGAGAAAGAGAGAGAGAGAATTAGAGAAAAATATCGTGGAATGTGAAATGGAACTGTTGAATAAAAATGATACTTTTATTTGTGCATTTTTTAGTTTATTTGTGAAACTTTTAATTGCAAATATTGTTGTCACCGTAATTTTTTTAATTGAATTCGCCGCCTCTACTGAGAGAACAATATAGATGTAAGTGAGTGAGTGAGTAAGAGAGGTAGAGAGCGTGAAATCGAAATATCAGAGAGCACATATGTGTGTACTTGTACAGAGGAAATAGAGAGAGAGCTCAAGCGTCCATGTTTGTGTATGTGTCAGCATTTATGGATGTGATGGCATTTCACATATACATTGGCAAGTGCATGCTCGCGTGCGTCAACCCGCTTCACACACATACAAAACACACATTTTGCTCATTACTTCATATGAGTTGTCGCTCGCTCACTCATTCACTCTAGCGCTCTTTCTGTCTCTTACTCTCCCAGCTCTCAAATATCTCTCTCGCTCACCGACACGTTGAGAGCACCGAACGTAAGAGCGTATCGCACGAGAAAAAGAGACAAACAAAAAAGAAGAAATGTCATAGTTATAGATCAGCATTAGCAATCAGCGCTATGGTATGAGTCAACGGAAGCCATTTTGAAAGTATAATATTGGCGAAAAATATTCATAATCGTTTTTTTTTCTCTTCACTTTGCTTATTTCTTTCGTTGCCTGTACAAACTTTTCAAGGGATCACATGAGCAGATGTATTTTCTAATTGAAGGCATGCGACACATTCGCATCAAAAATAGACGGCCAATCGTTTTACGAACAATATTCATTTGCAGCAAAGTCAAAATAAAATGTATATATATATATCTTGATTTTATAACTGATATATTTTTTTTCTTGCTTTATTAGATACTTACTTCACTTCATAAAACCATAATAACATTTGAACCACAATGTAATTTATTTACGTTAAAGGCGCATTATTTTTGTTTGAATAGATTTTTTTTTGTTTTTTTTTTTTTTTTTTTTGGTTTTAATGTTTCGTTTCGGTAACCTTTTGGTTATTTGATTTGTATTCCTTTTTTTGAACTACTTTGAATTTCAGTTTATCGAGAAAATTTCCGATTCGGTTTTTATTTGGTTGGTTTCGCTGCTTTTGGAGAAAATTGAATAACCGAAAACAAAATTTGTTCATCAATATTAATCGATCACTTTTTTATCTATGTGATTATTTATGTTTGTTTTTACTTTTTATTTTATTTCTCGTATCGGAAAATTGCCTGTTTTCCATTTTCAATAAATGCACATATTCATACTGTAAATTGATTTTACCACTGAAAAATTAATTTTACAAATTCGAATCAACTCATCGATACAAGTACAAATACGAATACATGCACATTGAACATTTTGAATTTGGACAAACAGTTCATCTCTTCTTCTTCTTCTTTTTCTTTATGTATATATACATGAATATATATATATTCATATATATATATTCTTCTTAGCAATTTTCTTCACTGAAATATTTTTTTCTTATAAGAATATTGTGTGGGTTCTCGTATTTTCATTTTCTTTACAACAACAGTTTTCTTTTACATGACGTGAGGAAGTAAATTTTATATCGGAAATTTCACACAGGATATTTTAAATATTGCATGTGTATGTGGTGTGATTAGTTTAGCGATCAATAAACTTGTTGGATTTTTGGATTATTATTATTATTCCTATTATTTTTCTTCTGATTTTGGTTTTGAGTTACTATAGTTAAAGTATATTGGGATTTGGTTTATTTTTAAAGATGGTATATATTCTGCTATATATGTATATATATAGTAAGTATATATATATATATACACATATATGTATATATCTTTTTGCTTGTTTTTGTTTAAATCTATTTAGCCAATAAAAATTATAACCAATTAATTGTATGACATTTCAACACAGACGCGCGGAACAAACAAAACGTTGAAATGGTTTTATCGTATGAGCACCTCCTGCTCGATATTGACACTATTCTAGTTGGTGCTGTCAAAAAAGATAGTCGTGGTGAGAAAATTGTATGAGAAAGAGCTTTTTCATTCAATGCATGGTATTTGTTGTTGTTTTTCGGCGCGCGATTCTCTTTGCTTGTTCTCATCGAACATCGGTGCATGCACGGGGATACAGCATAAGGATGTCGCTTATACGCATACTCAGATAGACGTCAAATGCTTGTTTCTTCTTCGTCGATATATACATGCAAACATTTCATCGCGCTTTTGCTCTCTGTGTATATGCATGACATGCTCTAGGACCGTTATGGTTTTTTTTCTTCTTCCTCTGTTTAATGTGTTGCGATATTTTGGCTCACGGACACACGTATATCGAAAATGCCTGAACTCGCTGACGAAAGTGTACATGTTGTTGTGAGCGCAGCATATAGGCAAAATTAAAACACTCTCGCTCAATTTACTTCATTGGGCATACGGTTGATGCGCATGCTTGGGCGCATTCTTCGGCTGTTCGGTCGCCAAATCGCGTAGCATATCGATGCAGGGTTGAGACATATTCATGTATACCAACGAATATTAATGAAATCTCAAAAACATTTTGCAATCGACATCATGTTGACAATCAAATTTACATTGTATATCAATTGATTAAGATTGGAAATTGAATTTTTTTGCTCAACCCCGATTCAGACCATTTACAATAGAAAACACTTATCAAAGACATTTTCATTTGACGAAAATATGTTCGTGTAACGTTCCGAATAGATCATTTGTTTATTTATGCGCAAACGCATGATATGACTTTCTCTCTCTATGTGTCGGTGTAGCACTGAATTGTCTCAATACAATTCCATTTTCCGCACTCTCTCTATCTCTCTTTCTGTCACTCTCTTTTTCTCTTCCGATGGTTTGCCTTCCTCGTCACATTTTCATTGATATACATATGTGTCAGTGCCACTTTAAATTTTCGGTTTGAGCAAAATCAAAGCAATATTTCTTTGGTCCACAAAAAGTTTCAATTGCGTTTACTGCTCAATACCAATCAAGGGTTGAAGAAAAAGTCCAACCACACAATGGTCAACAAAGAGAATAAGAGAGAGAGAGAGAGAGAGAGAGAGAGAGAGAGAGAGAGAGAAATACAACTAAAATAAACGACAAGCTTTTCACCAGTTTCTTTTCGTAAACTTTGTCATTTTTCTATTTCGTCATCTCTCTTGTGAAAATTTATTGCTCTGAAGAAGACGGCTATATAGATATACACAAGAAACCGGAGCCGTTTTTGTACCAAATGAGAAGCTACATACATTCGATCTTGAAACAAAAGCAAACCTCAACAAAATATGATATAGCATTGATGCAGTCACGTCAAATTTGTAGTACTTAACCTTAATAGAACACAATACGGAAGTCGATAGCCAAGTGATTTCTATCCTTCCCCTCCGAAAAAACAGCTCTCCACTCAATGTTTGCAACTGTTTTAATACATCGATTTTCCCATATCGATTTCGAAAGCGTTTCTTCTTTAACTTTAACAACTTTTTTTCTCCCTCTTTCAAACAAAAAGCAGTACATTTACGCACACATTTACGATGAACGCATCGCTCTACAAGACTTGGAAAAAGCACTCAAAAGCTTGCAGAATGCTTGAAATTCACGACTGTATCCGATAAATAAAATAAAAAATTCTCAAGGACTCGGAAGTCTTACATTTGAATAATCACCGGCTAAAATCGTTCAATGTATCAAATCGAAAGTCGCGACAGTTATCCTGAAAGCATGGCATCAAAACAATAATCAATTAGAAGCAAATGATACTGTATATTCGGAGATGGAGAGAAAGCGACAGAAATGAAGAAAAATAAAGAATAATAAGCGGAAATACATTTTAAATAGACCAAATGGCGCTTAACAAAGCGGACAAATGTTACATCTCAATTTTGTGACAAATTCACGAAAAATTCATATAAATGTAAACGAACGCTTTTTATTCAAAAATATATACGCCTTTTTTAATGCATAGAGTACACTTGAAATGAAAAAAAACGAGATTTAAACAGCAACATAAAAAAGAAGAAGCTGCATTGACGTCATGATCGTATTCCCGAAATATGGTGAAAATTACTCATTTATTTGAATTATTTTGATTGAAGGATAATCTGATTTTTATCTTTACCATGTTTAACTTCAAGAACTACAATCATAAAGTTTATTTTATTAATGAATTTTTGATGTTGTAAATTAATATAAATTAAAATCGACATCGAAAATCGAATCAAATGTGTAATTGCATAAGAGTATATAATAGAACATTCCAGTGGTCGGTTTTACATTTATCGTTTGAAATAAAATGAAACCGAATTATAAAAATCGCCAAGGTTTCAATAGATTCTGAGTAGATTGATCTCTCAACTGCTGAGCCGACGAATCTATGTTTTTGCTTCAATTTTATTCAAAAAAAATTGCCGATTTGTATATACTACACATTTCAATGTGAAAAAGAAGATTACGGCACAATTTTGCAATCGACAGCTGGCAGTCACGTGGTACAAATAAAATGTATAAACCACGTGCCTTAGTGCCTAATATAATTTTTTTTGTCTCTCTTTCGCTTTTGCAATTCTGTGTAAGGTGTATTGAGAAAAGGAATCATAGTATGTCCGAAAATTTGAATACAAACGATGTTCGACTAACAATTAAAAAAGAATCAAGGAACAAACATATACCCCAACATTTCATCAGATCATGTAAAACTGACTTTGAAAGATTTCCTAAATATTTATATTACAAATCGATCCGTTTTACTATAGTAAAGGGCATTATAATGCCAACATTTGACCCACACGCT